GTATTTTAAAGATTTGTTACTAAATATAAGTTTGATTCACTTCTATACAATACTACACTGATTTGGCTGCCTTTCCTGTTCTCCGAAGTTTTCTCTTTTTATTGAATCAACCCTTTGTTCTGGCGCCATGTTAATATACCTTTTGGTCTATTTATATATGTGACATCTTGGATTGGCTTTTTATTTCAAGTTTCTTCCTGGCAAAGACAATGAGCACAGCGAGCATGCTTAATAAATGTTACATAATAATAATTATTAAATGTGCTTTTAAAATCTCAAGCAGCTTTTTATCTTTCGCTTCTACTTTGAGATAATTATATACTTCCCCCAAGCTATTTATAGGCCCCATCAGGAAGCACAGCTGAAAAAAATGTGTTCCCAGTCCTGCCAACACCATGGTGAGAGTGATTTAAACTCTGAATTGCTGTTGCACATGTTCAAATGGCATTCAACATATGGATATCTAATTCCAGTGACAGAAAACTTTTCCCATCTCAAATCTCCCTGATGGAGGTGTTTATTGACTATGCTTCATCCATATCACCGTTCTCATTCATCAACAAACTGAGATTACACACAACGGTTACAAAAACACACCTTTTATTTGCTGTTATCTGACCATCTGTACCTGTGCTCTCGGCTGCACCTTGAGTCATCTCCTTCCTTTATCCTCTGAAGCCTGAATCCAAGCATATTTAGTGAAGACCACTGATGTATTCATAGATCAACCTTACAAATAAAAGGAACAGAGGGCCTCCTCCATCACGTGACTTGCACATCATTGGATCAAAACATTATACATAGTGCCCTACTCTTAGACGTGCCAGGTTTGGCAAATAAAGATGTAGCAGCAATATCCGCTCTCCACACTGTCCCCCAAACTAGCCTACAAGCAGTGTCAGAAAACCCTCAGATTACCTTCTCCCCTAAATCAAGGATGCAGGTTTGTGCCGTGGGCAGGCCACTGCACTTGGGGACTAAAGACCTGGGTGCTGGTCTCAGGTCTTGCCAACTTAGAACCCACTTGTTTAGATGAGTCCATTAGGATTTTTACCACCAAGATTCTATCATCGAGCCCTAGCCAGTTTGGCTCAGTGGATAGAGTGTCGGCCTGTGGACTGAAGGGTCCCAGGTTCCATCCCGGTCAAGGGCACGTACCTCCGTTGCAGGCTCTTCCCTAAAGACCTGGGTGCTGGTCTCAGGTCTTGCCAACTTAGAACCCACTTGTTTAGATGAGTCCATTAGGATTTTTACCACCAAGATTCTATCATCGAGCCCTAGCCAGTTTGGCTCAGTGGATAGAGTGTCGGCCTGTGGACTGAAGGGTCCCAGGTTCCATCCCAGTCAAGGGCACGTACCTCCGCTGCAGGCTCTTCCCCAGCCTGGGTCCTGGCCAGGGCTCATGCAGGAGGCAACCAATAGATGTGATCCTCTCACATCGATATTTTTCACCGTCTTTCCCTCTCTCTAAAAACCAATGGAAACATTTCCTCAGGTGAGGATTAAACAAACAAACAAAGATTCTATCATCGAAAGGTCCATTTCCAGACTTTTGGGAACCACTACATTCTGTGAGCCACGGTGCCAGATGCTGGAGAAACAATAACAAGCGCAGTGTCCCGCCATCAGGAAGCAAAGTATCGAGTCGGGCAGAAACCTGTGAACTCCAGGGAGGAGGGGGTCTAGACATCAAGACCATTGTTGTTGTCGTTTTGTTTTAGGGGGGTTGTCATCACATCTCTCATCGGATTACACTGCTGTATTCCCCTCAGTGTGCATCTTGTTTTACTATGTATTTGTTCTCATGAGAAGCCTCTTGCCCTTGACAGCGATCAAATCAAACCTTGTGCTTGGCAATAATAACCTTCACAAAGATGAACATAAGATATGGTGATGTCTCGCAATCTAAGGTAATCATAGCTTTTGAGACTATAAAGTCCTTTGGGGAAGGCGTACAAGAGAACTCCATCTTTCTTCCTGTCAGAGAGAAACGTGCCATTTGCAGATACTTTGCTCATTGGATGAGTCCTGGAAGAGGAGGTGGGAGCAGAAATGCCCCGGCTCTGACAGTTCCCAAGGAGTCCCCAGCATCCATGAGGGAAAAGCTCTTCCAGCGTTGAGCCCGGAAGGGCAAAAGTGGCAGCAATACTCACCGAAGCAAGTCGGGGTGCACACCCCGCTAGGGTCCCCTCATAGTGTAAGTACCACCTGCCGGCCACACCCTGGGGAGCAGCAATTCCTGGCCTCCTCATGTTGATCTGCCATCTTCCTTTGTCTGTGAGCTCGGCTATTTTCGTGGTTGACCTTGGGTGACAAACTAAAAAATATATATATTATTTCCTTAAAAGTATAAACATTCTATGATATTATTTTCTAATAACAATGTACCTCTTAGATTAAGACACTTTCCAGGATCATTTATCTGGTCTCTGCTGACTTGATTACTGGTTTTTCTAAATGTTGCAACCTCACTATCCAGCCCTTCTCTCTCTGACAGTAAAGTCTCACAGACTCAAAGTGAAGTGAAGAGAGACCTAGAGCTGGGAGCCATCAAGCTGTGTTTGAATCCCAGCTCTACCTCCCAATTGCTGGGAGAATTTGGGCAAATCATTTAATTGCTCCAAAACTGTTTCTTCATCTGCTTATTAGGGTATAATGTATTTGAAAACTTCTAACAGGTACTGCCACAAACAGATGTCAGTAAGATAAAAGTACACCATGAAAAATTTTTTTTCATTATTTTCAAAAATATATAATAAACTACAGTAACAGTTTTGGGATACAGTTTTGGTTTTGTTTAGTAAAGTGATTCATGGATTAAGAAATTATAATTACTGTACCAATCATGAGTTGATATCTTAAAAATACTGCCATTTTATGTCACACTGAGAGTTCTGGTGACACAGCAAGGAGTGTCGAAGCTGGCCCAGGACCCTATGGCTTCTGACTTCATCACCTCCACCTCTTCTCCCAAGTAGTCTTGGCTACTATAGCTAAACCCCAGTACTTCAAATAAATTAGTACATAATTAAAACCCAACTGTGCACCAAGGTGACAGACAGCCTTTCAAAAGGGGTCCTGAGATTTATGCAAGTTAAGGTAAGTGTCTGGGTGTTGACATGGCCCTAAAATTTCAGCCACAGTCAGCAAGAGCCATGAAAGTTCCATGACATTAGAGATGGTATCCAAGGCTCTCAGGGGCCCAGTTAGCTTGACAGCCTCCTGACTGAGCCAAATATAGTTAATGACTTCTAACCAAGAACCAGCCCACCTAGGTTTTGTGTTAATATCCACAACTTCGTGAACAGGTGTTGCTGTTATGCTTTTTATTATGCAATGTGTGGAGGGTAAAAATCACCCAGTATGATGCTTAGTAAGCTCTTCTCACTAGGGACTCATACCAGAGAATAATAGAAGCAAGGAAGCCTAAAAAATATGAACTTTGGCATTAGGCTTAGGTTTGAATCCACGCTATGCCTGACAAGTTGCTTAATCTCTTGGAAACATAATTTCCTCAGTTGGAAAAAGGAGAAAATACTTTGAATTAAAACAAAGTAGTATTTTGACTACAGTAAGTGGCCAAAAATTAGCACCCATCATTATTATTATGATTTGCATACTTTTATGCTGAGATTAATGTTATACTTTCAAATTCCTTAAAAGGCATCAGCCTTGACAAGTATCACAAATAATAAAAGCTCACCTAGAAAGGAAGTTGGCTTACAAAATCATCTTATCAATTAGTACTCCCTTTTAAGACGTTTCAAAATAGATACAATGAAAATCAAAGATCAATATTATGCCTGTGATTCCATGAATCTGAACATAATGTGGTCAGAATGTGTATCCAATCCCCTGGAACAAGTTTGTCTTGGTCATTTTTTTAACCTCAACACTGAGATTTATGTGACTGATCACAGCACCACAGGAGAATTTTATCATAAATTTGCATATCACCACCTTGGATGATCTTTTGATGTGTCAATCTGTGTAGGCCACATACCCCAGTTATTCCATCAAACACTAACCTAGGTGTTGCTGTGAAGGTATTTCGTAGATATGATTAGAGTCCATCATCAGTCCACATTAAGGAAGATCCTCCTAGATAACCTGGTGGGCCTGACTCAGTCAGGTGAAAGGCCTTCAAAGCAGAACTGAGGATTGAGGAAGAAGAAATCCCACCTGCAATTCCCAGCCTCCCTTCCTGGTGGCCTGCCCTTCAGATTTCAGATTTGCCTAGCCAACCCCACAATTACATAAGCCAATTCTTGTAATAAATCTCTTCTACTAGTTCTGCTTCTCTGGTTAAACGCTGACTGATATAGCTAAGAAATATTTAGTTTTTCTTTTGGCATTGAATCTTACTGCACCTTAATACTTAAGGTATAAATTGCTCCTAAAGGTTCTTTGTATTATGAATGAGTTGAGTGGGGTTCATTATTTTCATGGTAGATGTGAAAATGCTTTTAGTTTAACATGTTCCTCTATTTTGCTGTATCTTCCTTACCTTTCCATTTCAAAAGAAAATGTCAAATGTAGATTCAACGACAACCTTCTTTTGTAAATCAACCTTCTTTTGTAACTTAAATATACTTAGCTATTGCATAAGAGTAAAAAAAATTAAAATAAAACCCCATGTCTAACTGGGAAAAATTAAAACTCTTATATACATATGTCATTTCCTATGGATTTAAAAGTGGATTTTAGATATACCTTAAATTTTAGAAATGGAAGCGTAGTTGAAATCATTTTGTCAAAATAGGAGCAAATGCTGTCATTGATTTGCCAAGTGACAATCTAATTTTACATGACTCAGCAGTAAAATTTTCACAACTCTTCCAGACAGAATTTCTTAAAACTGTTTCTTCATACTAATAATGCTCTCTTGCCAAGTTTCATGTCATCCTTAACTATCCCAAGAACTTCTAAAATTAGAGTACAGTTATGCATATACCAGTTTTGAGGTCAAATATGAAAATAAGAACCCAAAGAAAACAAGATTTGAAACTAAACTCAGATTTTAATTTAATAGAAAGTATTATTCATGACAAGTCTTCTAAGATAGAATGAACTGGTCCTTAAAAAACTCCACTTTTAGAAGTGTTAAACATTTATTAACTTTCTTATTGGGAGCACTTTTCCTGGTTGTAATAAGAATATGCACAAATAACCATACTTGTTGATTTCTGAATATTAACAGTCCAAAATTCAGAGCGTTTTTTCCCCATACAGGTCAGGTACTATTTTAAAATAAATTATTTTTAATTACAAAGTCCTAGTACCAATATATATATATAAGAAATGTATTACTATTTACCTGTAATAACAAACATGTGTTTTGATATTATTATAAAAACTGAGTTTTCAATGAAGGCAGTTTAGAAGGGCTGTCATTGAGAAAATAAGTTTGAATTAAGCAATCCTTTAAACTAAAAATCATGGCAGAATAATATGTCAAGCAAGTGAAAATGTTTCTGTGATATATACATAAATATTTTCATGTAAACAAAAGCAAAACTCAAGAAAAAAGTAAATATCTTTGTTAGCAACCAAAATACATGGATTTGAAAAGGTTATTTTCTCTTCTTCATGCTTCCGTTAAATGGACTGGCATAAGAAGAGCAGTGGGGATTAGATGACTTTACATTCCTCTCATCCTCTTCAGGAGATTCCATACAATAGACACCTCTCTGGGAGAAGATATTAGAGGAATTAGGCTCCAGAAAGTCATGACTTTCAAATATTAAGTCACTCTCTCTGCTCTCCTGTGAAATGAGATGGTTTATCAGAGTTGTGCCAGCTGAAAGAAGGTAAGTCTACTACTGCTGAGATCCAGCGCTAACACACATGGCAGCAAATTAGGCACAACGATGAGTAGATTTTCCTCCGGATGCGGATTACCCATGCACTAGAAGATAATGGCTTCCAACACAAAACAAGCATTTTTAAATAACACAGACAGTATTGAAATGGGTATATTCTCGACAGAAATGACTACTGAAGTATGCCCCTTTGGACCACCTGCATCAGAATCGGGCAGGGTACTCAACAAAATAAAAGCGTGTATCCCTGGGCCCAATGCAGACACTCTGGGGCCCTGGGTATATTCTCGACAGAAATGACTACTGAAGTATGCCCCTTGGACCACCTGCATCAGAACCGGGCAGGGTACTCAACAAAATTGAAGCGTGCATCCCTGGGCCCAATGCAGACACTCTGGGGCCCTGGGCATCTGTGAATGCCCCCCTGGGAATACTCAGACACATATTCATATTAAAGCTTGAGTATCACTACTCCAAACTATAGGGGGTTACTTTTGACCACACATATTTCACTATGTCCTTCATGCTTCTTACTTATTAGCCAGAAGGAAAATGGAAACAAAAAACATTTCTGATTATGTCAGTCAGTGGTGATAATTAGTAGTGGTATTTATTTTCCCCTCAAGAAAATACAGGGGAATAGGCAACATAGGAGTCTGCACCTAAATTTTTCAAAGGTACTCCATAGTACGTGTTTTTTTTAAAGCTTTCAAATTGTATACACAATAAAAACGTTCAAAATGATTTGTAAACTGTCATCTGATCAAGATTATCCAGTGTAAAGAGAACTGCTGATCGGTGTTGCTCAATTCTCACAAAGGCCCCTTTCTTCTTTCTTCTTTCTTCTTCCACAGACACCGAGCATCTCAGCAGGCAATCCAGAGCTCTCACCAGATGATGCACTGCCTACCAAGCAGCACAAAAGTACCTAAGGATTGCTCATAAAAAGGACAAAGAAAGCCAAAACCCAGTCTCAACTGCAAACAAAAAGGAGTCTCAAGACCTACTGCCAATATATATTGTAAGATGAATACAGAGCATGCCTACTTTCCTTAGAGAAAGTCTAATTTCAAATATACTTATTAATATCTGCTTGAAATCCAGTTGAAAATGGGAGGCATGATACACTTCAATATGCTACTAGTATCTACTAGTGTTTATATTCTACAAGATCCCTATGGACGCAACAGTTTTACCTGTGAATAACAGACGTAGAAACCAAAGAGGCAGGTGACTGTCATCATCAGAGGATCCCGAACCAACATGTTAAATAATATGCTCGAGTCTGAAAAAAGTTCTTCAACTGGAAAATGAGTCCCAACACTGTTACAATTGCATGAGCAGGGTTTCCCAGATCTTTTGTGATGTCGTCAAACTTTGGAAGTCCTAGCTCCTGATACTGTGCCACGTGCCCTTCAAATGGTCAATGTTAAGAAATAGCTAATGCAGTAAAATGTAAAGAAGTAATACTGGAGACCAAAGAGTGAAGCCAACATCAACTGGGCTCTTCAAACATCTCCACTCTCACATGGAGGGAAGCACATTATAGTTGGGCCAGACCTTAGATTCATCTAATCCAACTCTCTAGTTGTACAACTGAAAAAAACAGAGGTTCACAAAACACTAAAATTCCAAAAAGATGCTATAAATCAAAAAATGTTCATGGTTTACTTACCTATTTATAAAGCCCATGGTGTAGCAACGGGGCTGCACTTTCAGCCCCTATAGCCTTCGTCTGCAGCCCCATCCTTGTCAGCTATTTTATCAAGTCTATCAGTGGTTCCAGGAAGAAGGGGACCAAAGGGTCTGGATGCACCAAGGGGGTCAGATCATCAGCAAGAGAAAAATAATTTGAAACCCCAGCCCGGCCCTATTACAACTTGCTCTACGCTTGGACCAGGGCTTATCTTTGCTTCTATGTAGGAGACTCACTTCGGAGCATATTCACCAACCCCAGCTCTGCGAGGGGCAAGCCCGGATCACAGTGCTGTCCTACCATCCCTAGAACATTTAGAGACAGCTGAACCACTGGAAGCCTCCAAACCCACAAAGCCAAGACCTACACACAGCTGTACAGAACTTCTCCATAACTGTCAGTCCTTTGTTTTGTCAACCAAAGTGTCATCTTATTTCCTGATCATCTTACTTATCTACAATTTTAAAGTTCCACTGTGAAAGGGTAGCTGTGTGATTTCATTTATGTTTATATTTCCCAGACTTTCTGCATTAGTTTCACATTTCTTTTGGTAATTTAAAAGATGAAGTTATTTTTAAATAGGTTTTATAGTCTTAAAAAATAGAAGGATATGCAAAGCCCCTCTTGACTATGAAACATCTGAACCTGAATTTATGCCTGTGTGGCACAGAGAAATAGCATAGCCTTGGGACTCCCACAGATGTTTTGGGTCCCAGGTCTGGGACTAACCTTGAGCAGGATTTTAGTCTCTGAGACTTGCTTTCTTCATCTGTAAAAAAAGAAGAAATAATACCTACCTCACAGGATGCTGTGAGGATAAAAGGATACGCAGTGCCTGGCACATGGTAGGTGAAAAAAGTGGTAGGTCCAAAATAGTGGTAGGTCCTTCTCCCTGCTGGACTCAGTGAGAATCCTTGAGTGAAAGGAGACACCACAGCCCACACCAGCCACCCCTCACTGCATCCCATTTAAAGTTGCAAGGATGTTCTGTCTTCTTGACTTTGCCCTATTGCTCTAAAGAATTGCTATTGTGCTTAGAAAAATATCTACATTTCTATGTTCTCTCCTTTAAAACTGTACATGCAGATAAAACGTTTTTTAAAACGATCTTTCTAGAAATGAAAATGCAATGTCTCCTAAAGCATAACATGTCATGTATAAAAACAATTCTGAAAAACATGACTGAATCAGTTTGTACATTATTTCCTAAAGTGCACCAAAGTAAATATTAATGACCTTTGAAATGTCACTAACCTCCTTGGGTTATTTCTTAAAATAAAAGTAAATATTTATCTACTGAGATGTATGTGGTTTTTGGCTCCAATACAATGGCAAAAAGCAGCAGTGTTTTCCAGAAGAAAAAGAATAAACTCAACTAAGCACACCTGAGCAGCATACCAAACACCGACAATTCAGTGTGACTGCGGGCTCAACAAAGCACAATCCTGACTCCTGCTTCCAAAGCAAAATCAACCAAGATACAAAAACCATCTTCCCACCCTAAATAGAGGATTCCTGTTGAATCCTGGAGGTAACATCTGTGATCACTGCCCTATTGTGTATCCTTGGTAACAGAATTATAACTAGTCACCATTCTTTCTTTATACTGCACACACCACACACACACACACACAAACCTATAAAAACACACACACAAACCTATAAAATCCGGGAAACTGTAAGTGGAAAAGCCATGTGAAAGAAAATTCAAGAATCCAGTAAAGAACAATTATCACCCCAAATTTCAGGCAGTTCCCATATTCACACCACCGTCCGGTGTTCCCCGCACACGTAGACAGCACTGGGGCGTATCCGTCGCCTTGTGTGACGAGGGAGCTGCGGCAAAAACTTGAAGGACTTGGGCATCATGTCCAGGCAGGCCTCGTGGAATTTCTTAATCCTCCAGTAGTAAATCAGTGGGTTCAATGCAGACTTGAGGTAGCAGAGCCAAAGGAGCCAGGTGCTAATTTCAAAAAAGTTGTGCTGATAGTAAAAGTGCTTGCTGAACGTGGCCACCAGGCTGTAAGTGGTGAACGGGGCCCAGCAGACGATGAAGACAGCAAAGAGGATCAAGATGGTGGTGAAGGCACGTGTTTTAAAGCCCATGTCGATGCTCATCTGGAAGGGTCTCTGCAGACTCATGAGACCCAGTTTGCTGGCCTGGCTGAGGCATATACCCTCAGGGTAGCTATGGATCCTCAAGGCATTGTGCCGGAGAGTGTTGAGTATACCCATAAACGAATACAGTATCACCAGGAATGGTATGAAGAAAGAAAGAAGAGAAATCAAAATCACATAAGCCTGGTAACCTGGGTTGGTTGTGTACCCAAACACGCACTGGGGGGCTCGGGAAGGTACCTGCAGGTCAGGGTTGCCGACAGCCAAAGGGAAAGCTATGCAAAAGGAAGCTGCCCAAGAAACCGCGATCAGAACCTTAGCCCTGTAGGGGTTTAGCTTGTCCTGCCTCTGGACTATAATAAGGAACCTATCGATGCTAATGATGAGCAGGATGGCTACCCCCTCAATCACAAACAACCAGAAAAACATGGCAGATACCCTACAGAAGAATTTCCCAAAAATCCATCTGGTAGTGAGAATAGTTACCAAGGCAAAGGGCATGTTCAGCACTGCAAGCAACATGTCTGCGAACGCCAGGCTGGCCAGGAGGATGTTAATGGCAGATCGCATGGCGGCTTTTTGGTAAACCATGAGGCAAACCACCAAGTTCCCGAGAAAAGACACAAACAGAATAAATATCATGATAGCAGAAAGGATGATCTGCAGAGGCAGGTTGAGGCTCTGATAAGCTGCTGGTGTTGGGGGTACAGCTGTGCTATTCACGGTCAAGGAACTCATCCCCGTGGGAGCCAGGGTGTCAAAATTGTATCTAAGCAGAGGATGCTGGACTGGTGGCGGGGCCGTAATATTCACGTACGTGTTTTCATAGACTACGAACGTCGTGTTGGTTGCCCCCGTGTGGGACGCAGTCAGCCCTGCAGAGAAGACCATGGCTTCAGTAGGAGGGAAGGCTCTAGCAGCTAGGAGAGTGTTCTTCCAGCATCTCAACACCCAGCAGCAGTTTCACGTTTCCCTGACAGGCTTGGAAACACGTTCTGGAAAACAGACAGAGTTCCATCTTCCACAGAAGTCCTTTTGCCTGAAAATAAGTCCAAAATACGAAAAGTAAATGAGAAATGAGCTTCATAAATAACACTTGACGTCTTACCTTTCGTCACTGAGGATCAGTGCCTTTGTTTAACCCTTCAAAAAATATTTACATCTCTAGCACAAGTAGCACTAAGATACTGTTGTTCTGTTGTTTTATTTTTAGTCAACCATGATGGAAATTTCATGACACTCATGTATGAAGTAAAAGTGAAAAGAATTAAAATGTATTACCACTTCGAAGTCAAAAGTTAGAACCTTACTTTCTTTTAAATTTCCAGTAGCAACTTGGTCTTTCCACAGTCACTATTAATACAGGTTTTATGATCTGGTTCTCCTGAGAGTACTAATGTTTTTCTTAATAGCTTTTTGGTACAGATTCATATTCTATGTTTATGTTAGAACAACACTAGATGGCAAGAAAAACCTGAACTCAGTTTTCTACTTAACACTTTTATTGTAACACCTACTAGGTTATTTTCTATGAAAGATCTGAAACAGTTTCCTGGCTTTCTATTTCTGTGTGCTTTTTCCCAGAAATCTCACCATCACCACCTTGGAAAAGTTATTCAAAATGACAAGAAAAAATTATATGTAAAAAGTCTTGATCATATTTTCAAGACTTTTCTTTTTTCAAAGCTTTCTTTATTCTCATATTCTCTCTTCTTTCCCATAACCTTTCTATGAAAGATCTGAAACAGTTTCCTGGCTTTCTATTTCTGTGTGCTTTTTCCCAGAAATCTCACCATCACCACCTTGGAAAAGTTATTCAAAATGACAAGAAAAAATTATATGTAAAAAGTCTTGATCATATTTTCAAGACTTTTCTTTTTTCAAAGCTTTCTTTATTCTCATAGTCTCTCTTCTTTCCCATAACCACTACTAACTTCCATCCTTTATTTTATGATACAAAGACTTCTATCTGAAAAGATCAAAGAAATTGAAAAATTTCTTTTCCCTAAAACTCGATAGAAGATGTCAACCAAATAATGAAGATGGAATTTCTAAAGGAGATGCCCATAAGAATATTCAGCAGTAGAGAATCTATTCCAGTAAACTTACATATATTTGGTTATCTTACTCCAAAAAGTTTCCTATCACCTTTCCCTTATCCTTACCCCCAACTTCTGTAACCCTGAAGTTTTCAATAGGGGACATTATTAGTCTACCATCTTACTAACCCATTTTTGTGATGTGGATTGTTCCATATCTTGGCTATTGTGAATAATGCAGAGATAACTTCTTTAATTAGGAAGAATTCTCTTTGGATTTCTGGCTAGATTACTTTAATAAATACCAAAGCGGGGGGGGGGGGGGAATAAATGCACAGAAGCTTAAAATAACACTATAACTTGCTCGTTATTTTGACTTAGAATTAGTTATTGATTTTAGGGGTAAATGCCAAATGTTCACTTATTCATTTCTTGGGGTAGGGAGGGTGGAGGCACCCCATTTGACAGGCCCAAGATCCAGCATTGTAGCCAAATCATTAGCTCTCTATCGTACTTGTTTCTTTCTACAATCCCCTCTGTTGTCAAGGCTGAGAAAGGAGAGTATTTATCTGCTTGTTCAAAATATTAATTTTACTAGTTACTCTCACTTTCACAGCTTAATTTCTTTGTTCCTACAAGATATTATCCATTTTCACATTTTCACTTTGAAATGAAAAATATACCTGACTGAGATGCCACACTAAGCCAGTGACTCTCAAATTTTATTAACCACAATGGGCCAATGGTAGTTAGAAATCTGTACACCACAATCACCATATTTTCTTTAGAACTAACTAACTATATAACCATAAAGACTGTGCTTGCTACATAAATCAGCCTCTATACAAGTCTATCTGTAGGAAAATATAAACAGACAAATGTGTATCACCAGCCTAAAATAACATCTATAACGGTGCTTGACCAAGTAAACAAACATCTATCCATCCTGAAATAGTACACACTTCATTTTTTATTTTTTTATTAAAATATAATTGACATACAACATTAATATCATTTCAGGTATACAACATAATGATTTGATATTTGTATACATTGTAGAATGATCACTACAATAAGACTAGTTAACATCTGTCATTACACAAAATTAAAATTGTTTTCATTGTGATGGGAACTTTTAAGGTCTATTCTCTCAAGTATGCAATGCAATATTAACTATAGTCACCATGCTGTATATTACATCACATGACATATATTTTATAACTGGAAGTCTGTACCTTTGATCTCCTAGACCCATTTCAGCCACTCCCTACCGCGCCCCGCCCCCGCCACATTTGGAAACCACCAATCTATTCTCTGTATCTATGAGCTTATGTGGTTTTGTTTGTTTCATTTTTAGAGTTCACATATAAGTGAGATTATACTATACTTGTCTTTCTCTGTCTCACTTATTTAACTTAACATAATGCCCTCATGATCCAGCCATGTTGTTGCAAATAGCAAGATTTCATTCTTTTGTATGGCTGAATAATATTCCATTGTGTGTATTCATATATACATTTATACATACACATGTATGTATGTATATACATTTTCTTTATTCATTCATGCATCAATGAACACTTAGGTTGTTTCCATATCTTGGCTATTGTAAATAATGCTGCAGTGAACATGGGAGCAGATATCTTTTTATGTTATACCATTATCTTTGGATAAATATCCAGAAGTGGAATTGGTGAGTCATATTGTAGTTAATCTTTTTAATTTTTGGAAGCACCTCCATACTATTTTCCATAGTGGCTATACCAATTTAGATTCCCACCAACATTGCATAAGGGTCCCCTTTTCTCCACATCCTTGACAATACTTATAGCTGCCTTTTTTATAATAGTCATTCTAACAAATGTAAGGTTGATATCTCATTGTGATTTTAATTTGCATTTCACTGATATACCTATTAGCCTTCTTTGAAAAATGTCTATTCAGATCTTCTGCCCATTTTTAATTGGATTGTTGGGGGGGTGCTATTGAGTTGTGTGAGTTCTTTATATATTTTAGATATCAACTTTTATATATGATTTGCAAATATTTTCTCCCATTCAGTACATTGCCTTTTCATTTTGTTGATGGACACACTTTAAAACACTTAGTTTCCTTTACCAGGTTGAGAAACAAAAAAACAAAAACTGTAATGAAGCCAAAGCAAAACCACATTTAAAAGACACTTTTTAGGTTGTTACATATAAATATATATATAACCCCATTACTATAAAAGACACTTTTTAGGTTGTTACATATAAATATATATAACCCCATTACTATAAAAACTTCTAATTCATTTGATTCAATTACTGATTCATCAAATATTTATTTAAGAATCTAGTGTGTGCCAAGCACGAGAGAGACAGCAATGAACAAATGGTTCCTGGATTTCTGGTTAAACGGGGCAGAGTGACCATAGACCCACATCTCAAAATCACACCAAAATGACAGTAGAGGGATTTACAAAAAAATGTACAACCCAAAAGGACAAGAGGTGTGAATGAAAGACACATAAATAGATAGGGATTTTTATTTATTTTTAATTTTTTAAATTTATTTCAGAGAGGAAGGAAGAGGGAGAGATAGAAACATCAATGATGAGAGAGAAGCATTGATCAGCTGCCTCCTGCACGCCTCCTACTGGGGATCAAGCCCACAATCCTGAATCAAACCCGGGACCCTTCAGTCCACAGGCCAAGGCTCTATCTACTGAGCCAAACCGAGCTCGGGCAATAGATAGGGGTTTTTAAAAGCAAAAAGCAGATGGTGGTGTGGTAACTGACTGGACAGACCAGAACAGATCTCCTTATCCTCAATACTTCCAGGGAAATAGGCTTAGAAGAACTGGACACATCCTCAGAGAAGTTTTGGATTGAGAAATGCCAATTAAATAAGACAGGCATCACACACAAATTCATATTCTTTGCCCATAATAGGCTGTTATTACATGTCTAGAGATTCTAATTAGAAAATGGAACGATACACAAAGAACACACCAGGATGGAGGCAAGCATACTCTTGTTCTCTTAAGAGGTGGGTGGAACCAGAAGTAAAGAGCCACGCATTTCACTTCAGAAGTAACTCACATTCCAGCTTTATTTAATTAAAAACAAAACAAAAAGCAGTCACTTTCAGGGGGCAATCTGCTTTAAAATTAAAAAGAATAATCAAAAAATAAATTTCTATCACAATAGCAATGTCTACTTTTGGGGAACTGAATTGTATTATTTTTTGGTTTACCTGTAGGTATAGTAATAGAAAGCTTTGAACAAACTAACCAAAAGAGAATATGTAATACTCAAGTGCAGTGGATGGGGTAGGGGAGGATTTATTTAAAGTTATTTTTATAAAGAGAATATCATTATTGCACTAAAATTTCACTTATTTTCAAGGTATATCTAACTTAAACCCTATATGCAATAAAACTAAAGAGGAAAATACTGTGTGAACATTTTAAGTATGAACCATAAGCAGTGTTCTGTTTATACCACTGTTCCATTTCTGATATTTTTCTAATTCCAACCAGAATGTTCACCACAAAAAAAAATTATCATGATGGGACATTTAGTTCTTCCATGGACATTTTAAAAATTAGATTATTAAGCATGAGGATTTATTGCATTCATGTTACTTACTTTTCCCCACAAATGCTATGGAGAAATTAAACTAAATGTCAGCAAGTGCTCTGTTTCAAGGAGAATATTCAAAGTGACTTCTGGTGACAATTAGAACTGAAACTCAAGTGGCAAGAAAGGTCAGCATTTAATAGAAAGGAATGTTAATTATAATTAAAAACTAGGAAAATGTATTTTTAAGTGGCTAATAGAAGATTAACCTCCTGGAATCTTTATGGAAATACAAAAAAGCAAAAAAAAAAATTATGAGCCCTATGGGTGACAGGTTTTATTAATATTCCTTTTGTCTCCTATTTCTATTTTTATTCTCAAGCTCACATTAATTAGGTCGTTGTTCTGCTGAGAATCTTTATCTGCCCTGAAACTACTACTGGGGAAAATACTGGCCAATTTAATTTCATCAACCTTTTTGAATAGTTCACAGATATATTACTTACCTGTCATGGATGTTTCTCACAATGATATTTGTCTGTAAATGCAACATTTAGAGTGAAATACCAAGTCTTATTAGATAATGAACCTGGAATCTTAAAACAAATAAGCCTGCCTAGACTTATAACTGCTATGTTAAAACTTGAATATCTCCTGTTATTACCTATAAACTATTTGCATAGGGCAAGGGTGAAAAGTTTTGTTTTTTTATACCTAAGGGAGTCCATGGGCACTCAGACTGAAATACACATGCTAATTAAAAGCAATTATAATTTAGTCTGATTTTAGAAACACACATAAATTTTTTTAAGGTTTAAAAGCTTTGCTTTTTTCTTCTCATGCCATAAGCAATCTCCTCCTGCTCACTCCCTCAATTACCTGCATGCAGATACCTGATAAACATGTGTTAATGGCCCAAAGCTCGTTTCTGAGTTCCAGCCTCACCCAACCGCTCATTTAACATCTCCACTAGGATATCTCAAACTCTGCAAGTCCCCCCCTAAGCTACCCCACACCAGTGTTCTCATGCTCAGAGACTAGATTACCACCCATTTGGTTATACAAGCCAGAAACCTAACAGTCACGTTCACATCTTCCTCCCTCAGCTATGATTTATTCCATTCCCCAAAACTGTACATTTTAATTCTTAAATGTTGTTCCTATCAGGCCATTTCTCTTTAAGCCATATAAACCATCCTGTCCAAACTACCAAGAATTTGCATAAGGCAGCAATTTATTCACAACTGGATTCCCAACACCTATGACTGTGCCTGCCACAGTTGATGTTCAGTAAACATTTGTTAAGTGGATAAACTGCCTCCTGCTACTATTCACCCAATCCCATTCCCTGTTCACTCTGTGCATTCTTACTCCTCCATCACTATGGAAATCTTCCCTGGTCCCCTGACCAAGCCAATCCCCACCTCTATTCTACCGTCTCATTTTAATATGTACTTCTCTGTGATAATACTCGGCCCACAATCATTTTACAGTATCCATGGCATCTCTTGACTCATGCCTGTGCCCATGCCCACCCCACTCCGCCCATCCCATCTGGAGAGCAAACTCCAGGAAGACACAGATGTGCTATTTCTTTGCTCAGCACTGTATTCTGAAACCCAGTTAATAGCCTGGCATACAGTATATACTCAAAAGCTACTAAATCACTAACAAAAAATTATGTTATCATACTCGTAACCCAATGCCTCCGTTTATTCCCTAGTTATGAAACCCTTAAAATAAGAGTTCACTGTACAGTATTACCTTCATAGTTCTTTACTGAAACATTTAGTGTATCTTGTCTATTTGAGAAGCAAACACAGGGAATAGATGAAACAAGTACCTGGTGGGATATGACCGTCAGGACAGGTTTCTGTCCTCTGCGTATTGACCACAGAGTCGCTCTAGTCTGAATACTTGTGTCCCCTCAAAATTCATATGTTGAAAACCTAATGGTCTGATGTGATGGCATTAGGAAGTGGGCTCTTCGGGAAATGATTATGTCATGAGAGCAGAGCACTCAAGAATGGAATCAGTGCCCTTTTAAAAGAGGCACGAGGAAGCTCCCTTGCCCCTTCTGCCATGAGCGAATACAGTGAGAAGTCGGCAACCTGGAAGTGGGCACCCTAGTCTCAGACTTCCAGCCTCCAGGACCGTGAGAAATAATGTCTGTTGTATACAAGCCAGCACCCCATCTGTGGTACTTTGTTACAGCAGCCCAAACAGACTAAATAAATAAAGAGGAACACAATTATATAAACCTACTAGAGGCCCGGTGCATGAATTTGTGCACAGGTGGGGTCTGGCCAGCCCACCCTGATGGGGGCCCATCGGGCTGGGCAGGCAGGGGAGAGGGGGCTGCAGGTGGTTGGCTAGCTGGCCCCACACCTGATTGGGGTATTGGGGGCTGATGGGGGGGTTGCTGGGGAGGGGGTGCCGATTGGGGCCCAGATCAGGCTGGTTGGCTGCCACAGTGCGCATTACAGCCACCAGTCGCTCTGGTTGTTCCACCGTTCAGGTCGCTGGGCTTTTATATATATAGATAGTCTAGAAATTCTGTCAGTGGAGGCATCAGGTTCATAGAAACTAGGGAAATATGAATCTAATATTAAAACCTGGAGAGTAATAAAAATAAAACAGTATAACAAAAATCAGAGCATTAAAAAGCTCTTACAGACTATAAAAGGGAAACTAGGAAATGAGAACAGAGTTGAGAGAAGTTGGGAACATGCTTGGGACCCTGTTGGCATGCCTCTCTCTATGTACACAGTTCCACCTGCCGCCTAGGCCTCCCTAAAGCCCCCGGACCTCAGCTGATTGCCCAAATCTGACCCCACACAATCCACCAAGGTTGTGGCTCCTCCAACCACTTCTCAGCTCATGTTACACTGTTGGGCAGGAGATGCCTCTCCACTGGCTGCCCAGAGTGGCTCCTCATCCCAATCAAGAGCGAAGGTCTAACAATACTCCCTGGTGTGAATTTCGCCTGGGAGGATGTAGGAGACAGAAAAGATGTCGCCTCCTTACATACCTGACCGACCACCAGGCCTATGGAGAGTTCTTTAAAGTCTGTCTGGAAGACAACTTACCTAATGAAGTTGTGGCCAGATCAGTAACACATTACCTTGCATTTGCTTTTTCCTTCCTCCTGCCTCCGTTTATCCCCTCACTCTTGCTGCCCAGAGACTGCACTTCCAGACACAGTCGTTCAGTAGGCTAGCTTTGCCTCAGGCTATGGTTTCTAGAAAACCCCAGCTAAGAAACACCAAAGCACTGAAAAAGAGATACTGATCTAAAAAGCAATTATTACTACTACTTTTCTTCTAGACCCTAATTGCAGTTAATGACTTCACCATCTATTTACTCCAACCCCAACCTTGGGAGTAAAACACCATTTCTTGTTGTCCCTCCACCAGCACACCCAACCAGTCACTCTAGCCTGCCAATTTCACCTCCTAAGCAGTTCCTATACTGCTTCCCTTTTTCTTACCCCATGACCATGTCTCTAGTCCAGGTGGGAGCCTCCGAAATGGTCTCTCTTCCTCAGTCGTGTCCTTCCTCTGTAAATCCACCCCATCAAACTGTAACCAGATGAATTTTTAAAATCAAAATCCTAATCATTTAAACACTAGATTGATTCCCATCAACTACAATAATGGTGACCATTTTTCACCTCAAACCTGAGGGATCCAACATACTCATAACTGATAGGAATTCAGGGGCCAAGGGGTTATGAAGGGATAGTCACCAAAAATACGTGAACACAATTTCTAAAGGAAATTCTACTCTCCTAGGTTATAATATATCTACCTATTTTTTATTTTATTTTGTTTTCTGACTCTTGCTCCTTCTCCCATCATCTGGTAAGGACAGGGTCACTGGGCCATGGAGGTAGTCATGTGACTGCCAAGCACTCCATCTCCATGCAGGACTGTCCTGGGAATGCCCATCTCTGAACCCCTTTAATAAAGTAACAGAACTTTAAGATTAGAGATAACTTTAAACTGAGAGGAAAGAAAAGATACCAAAAGAAAGAACATTTCCTTTCTATCCATCTACTTCTACTTCCCATTTCCCCACATATATTACAGATACTGACTGCTCTTTAAGGATCTTTCAACCTAAATGACCAATATTTAAGGGCCTAGTTAACTGAATAAGACATTTTTCAGACGCTTTAAGTGTCATTTATGAAGGCTATAAAAATGGAATAGAATATTGCAAATAAAGTGTAAGTGCGTTACACACACACACAAGCTCAAAGGAAATAATCACCCCAATGCTGAAAGTAATGTTAATGGAGGTAGAATATGGGCTTTTTTCATTTCTTTCTGCATTTTAATGTGCTTTTAATATTTTGTAATAAAAGTAATTAACTTGAATCCTAAAAATATTTTCAATGTATTTGAAAGGAAGCAAAAAGTCATGCCTCATTAAAATTCTAATATAGTAAAACCTCATTCTGTAAGAATTATTCATTATAGTTGAGTGACCCAGGTAACACAGGTGAGTGAGTGAACTTCACCACCTTGTTGGAAGAGATGTCTGGACCTGCACTATTCACTTTCCCACCCTCTTAGTTGTGCTGGATGTCGTTAAGGATGCAGATCAGACCTGCAAGGCACAGGGCTAATGCACTCAGTGTCATAACTGGTCTGTAACTGTTCATCTTGAGAGCTCCCAAAAGACTACAGAAAGACAGATTCTGAAAGGTGTGCTTTTCTCAATGGGATGCATGTTGTCCCTGGGGGTTGCTGAACTGGGGAACACATTTCCAGCAGGTTCCCAATGCCTGTGCTTTTGGCCAAAGCAGAGAGGAGCGGTGGCTATTTGGCCCAGCCTGCACCACTTCAACAGAGCTATTTCAATGTTGGCTGTGACTGCTCCTCTCACTTGGAGTGTCTTCAGCCTCCACCCTCACCAGTGCTCTGACTTCTTGCAGGGCAGGCTGCTGACGCTCTCAAGACTTCAAGGCACTGGCTGTCTGCTCCTCTTTCCTCCTCCTTTTCCTGCATCTTCTATCTCCTACCATTTCACTCATACTCTGAAAGGATATGCCTTTAATATGAAGCCAGTTGCTGTCTTATTTCTTGTCTTTGGAATGCCAAATGATAAAGTCGCAAATCTGCAATATTATCTAGGAACCTGTTACTCAAAGTGTGGTCTGTGGACCATGTGTATCTGCATCACCTGGGAGCTTGTTAGAAATACAGAATATCCTGCTCCAGAACTACTCAATCAGAATCTGCATCTAAAAAGATCCTGGGCGATTCCAAGGCACATTAAAGAGAAGCTCTGATCCAGGTGTCTCTGGCTAGGTTGTTTTTGGTTGCCAAACCTCTATAGCTCTGCTTACACAGCTGATGCTGTTCTAACCTGAGGAAAGTGGAGATAGTGCCTGCCCTTCACCCTACCAGTAAATGAGAAGCACACTCATTACTCCCAGTCTAGCAGTAGTGATGGAGCCATAAGCCAGAGAAAGACAGTATCACATTATCTCACTTATATGGGGGATCTAATGAATAAAATAAACTGATGGACAAAAACAATCAGAGACATTGAAGCATTCAACAGACTGGAATCTCAGAGGGAAGGAGGGGGAGCGGGAAGAGATTAACTGATGAACTTCCCTGCATATATGCATAGCCCATGGACAGACTATAATGCGGAAAAGGCCTGGGGAGGGGAAGGGAGTGGGTTAATGGGTGAGGGGACATCTGTAATACTTTCAACAATAATGATAAATTAAAGAAAAAGAAACTCTGAACTTTACTTAGCATATTTATTGTTAGTAGTGATATTAATATTTGGCAAAACCATTTTGTAAGCATCATAAGATACGGGTATACATTTATATACCTCCCCATACAGTTCTGTGCACTAACGGGTCAGAAGCCATACTCCAGAAACAATGAGTAGCCAGGTCATGGTTTCCAAACACCATTAGAAGAAACCAAAGTTCCTCAGAAAAATGGCTGGCTCCAGGTCTGGGATAGGAAAAGTATGAGATGAGGCTGAAGTACCTTATTACACCAGAAAGTAAAGAGGTGCTCAAGGACTAATGGGAACTTGACAATCTCATTTTTCTCTCTAGAAGCTTTTAGGAACCTTAACTGAATGTTCTTAAATTTCACAAGAATTGGTCTGAATTTAAAGTTGCCTTCATCCATTTGGCTGGGCCCTCAGAACTCGTCAGTCTGAAGATTATTTCCCAGAGCAGAAGAGGAGCTTCTTTATGTATTTGATATTTACTCTGTTGTATCTTCTGGAATTCCAAGTATTTAAATATCAGACCAACTTGACTGAGCCTGTCTCTTTGCACTTCTTTCAAGTTTTCTGTCTCCCTTTTGCCCTGTGTTCTTGGAAATTCCCTTATAGTCATCTTTCAAATTTTCCATTGAACTATTTTAATTTCGGCACTTCCTCAAAAAATTAAAAATGGAACTTCCATTTGACCCAGTAATCCCACTTCTAGGAATATGTCCCAAGAAAACAGAAACACCAATCAGAAAGAATATATGTACCCCTATGTTCATAGCAGCACAGTATACAACAGCTAAGATTTGGAAACAGCCTAAGTTCCCATTAGCAGATGAGTGGATTAGAAAACTGTGGTACATCTACACAATGGAATACTATGCTGCTGTAAAAAAGAAGGCATTTTTACCATTTGCAACAGCATGGATGGGCCTGGAGAGCATTATGCTAAGCAAATTAAGCCAGCCAGAGAAAGATAAATATCACATGATCTCACTCATTTGTGGAATATAATGAACAACATAAACTGATGAACAAAAATAGAACCAGAGTCACAGAAGCATCGAACAGACTGTCCAACCTATGAGGGAAGGCAGTGA